AGAGAAAAGCACTCATCTACAATGTATAATGAATCTCAAAATAAATTAAACACAATTGCAGAATTAGGTTTGGTCAATAAAGGCACAATAAATAAACAACAACAACAACAAACTATTGGAAAACCACCCTCAAAATGTTTTTGGCTGTTTTAGCCCAGCGGGGGGCCGCTGGCCCAGGCAGAAAGCCAAGCAGGGTGGTTGATGCTTGCAGCAGCCCCACTGCCTCCTGCTCCCCCATCTCCCTCCCTCCCTAGCTTTTGGATGATCTCCCAGCTAGCGTGAGGCACATCCTTCCTCCACATCCCTTCTTCAGCTCCCCATCTCCATCCCACCTCCAAAACTAACCCTCCTTGCTTTTGTCCCAAGCGGGGAGCATGGTAAACATACCTTTTGTGATGTGAGGTGGAAGGAAATGGTGGGAGTGAGGATACCAGCAACCCAGGAAAAGCTGCTGCACCCCGGTGAGCAGATGGTACAGCTCATGCCCAACTACCCCTCACACCCCACCAAAACAAGATCCACAGGCTATCTTCCCATCCTCCTGCCTTACCTTCCATGCCTCTTGCAACTAGCCTTGGGTCAACCCGGTTTCACGCCACCTGAAGCACAAGCCGGCTGGGGGCAATGAGCCCGCCTCGCCGGAGCAAACACACTGCCAAGCTCCTCCTGGCTGGACTGCAGCTACAAGTCTGGGGATGTGCCATGTTTCTTTTTTTCACTAATTGGATTTTTTTTCCTTTTATTCTTATTTCAATAACAAGTTTGCCATGGCATTTTAAGCAGTGAAAAAGTGCACTAACCCCAAAAAAGAGGACATTTCTACGTCTGTAACAGCAACATATCTAGTGGGCACTAACACAGGTTCCCATATCCGCTGCAGTTTACACCCTGCATTAGAAAACCACATCCATTATTAGCAAATGTCTTAGGTGCGATGCCTGTTGCAGAAAGGACCTGAATTACACATGTGAATTGTGTCACAAAAGTGCAGAGAGAGATGCAAAAGTCCTTCTTCCAAGCAACACTGACATTGCCTGACAGAAAACAAGAAGTGGGAAAGTCCCAAACAAGAAGTGTAAGGCCCTTGCAAGGAGACACCCTGCACCACCACCGAGAAGCAGAGCTACCATGGGGCATGAAATGCTGTGGAGTTCCCAGAGGGAAATCCTCCTCACAGCACTTCAGGAATGTATCCACCTAACCAGAGCTGAGCAGACCCTCCTCCCAGCACCGAGCCCTCCACACCTCAGTGGCAAATGGGGAGCATCGGCCACCGTTTCTGTGCCTCGGGCTCATTGTTTTCTTACTTGACTCGTTCGACTGCAGTGACCAACCCAGGACGTTCCTGTCAGTGAGCGCTCGGAGACAGGCTGTGCGGGCCACCAGCGACTGACCCCAGCACAGTCTTCCCTGAATCCGTTCCGGGGGGACAGGAGGCAGATGTCTTGAGTCGTGACCCTCCCGCCACTCTTGAGCATCTAGACTTGCATCCATTCTTCTTCTTAAAGGAAAGGGCATGGGGCAGTGAGCAGGACAGCAACTGAAACAGAGACTTCCTGTACAGAAATTCCTACTTAAACCTCTTTCAGAAGGGAACCACTAAGACCATTCAGAGAGAAAAGGCAAATCAGGATTTCTCTGCAAGAAGCTGAGAACACGAGGACTCTTGCAACAACTCGTAACAAATGGGCTACTTCATTTATTGTTTATTTCCCCATATGAGTGAATTGACTGTCTCGGAAACTCCATCGCACACAGGGCAGAAAACGTTATTTACAAGAGGGACATATATCCCCAAAATAAGTTTAAGATGTACATATTTGTCATGGGAACCAAGAAGGGGCGGAGAGGACAAAACCAAAAACAGGGACATCGCAGTCAGACTTTGACTTTACGTTACAGAAGAGATCTCCATCTCCACGTAAGTGGGGTTTTCAGCTATTAAATAAATGGCATCTTAAAAATAGAACATTTGACAATTTCAACACGTATTACTTCTTCTAAATAAATATTGCATGGAAATGACCTGCTTTGCCACAATAGCTGCCTCCATTCCTTCTGGGACTCAACCATCACCTCTGTTTTTCCTTGGATTCATGGTTTTGTTTCCTAATGGCAAATGTTGTTTCCTCCACTGTTATGTTTTGGTTTGAGGCTTTTTTGTTTATTTTTCCTTTTTTTTAAAGGCCTGAACAGGCCCAAGTGAAAACGATGAGCATTTTTCCTAACCCTTTGCAGGCCTCTGACCTGGCTCAAGGTTGAAATACCATGGCTTTTTAAAAATTACCTGTTAAACAGTCTTTTCCATGACCTGACAACAAAGCAGCTTCCCACCACGTAGCTTGGTTCAGATGACTCCACAGATCCTTTTGAAATGAGCCCCCGAACAGCCCGTACTGCCTGTGACACAAACTGCCCGTGATCTCGTTTCCTCCGAAGCCTGGGGGAGCAGGAGCAGCCCTCGCACGACCACCTCCACGTGGCAGCAGAGCTCCCAACTGTAAAGAAGCCAATGCCAGGTGGTCATCCTTCCTTGGGTGTCTGCTCACTGACTGCTCGCCCAGCGCCCTTGGCATGAGCTTTCCTAGGAGCAGGGCAGCAGATTATCCCTACCTGGGCAGCGAAGCGCCCAAAGGACAGAGCTAGTGCACCCGCAGGCTTCATCAACCCGGACACAGGACAGGGCAGCCGCACACCCTGCCTCATGGGTTGAGCTGAGCGAGCGGCTCTCCGATGGGAACCTGGCCTGGCAGCAGGGACGGAGATGGGTGTATGCAAAATGAAAGTACCGGGGAGACCTGCGTCACCTTGTGCTTACCGCTAAATGCTCTGCTACAGCTCTTGCAGACTCCCACAGCAGTTTTCAGGTTCAATAAAGCTTTCTTCCTCCTCCTCAGCTGATGATGCTAAAATTAGCTTTGTTTGAAGACAAAGTCAGAAGGCGGCATTGACCCACTCGCATAGAATCGAGCTCCAAAGTGCACGTCAAGCCTTCAGGCCAGCTGGCCATCCCTGCACTTCCTAAGAACAAAACAGTTAATGCTGAGCTTGTCTCTGTCGCTGGCTTATGCAGGGCAGTTGCTCCTTCAGTGAGCAAGTCAAGTTTGACAGGGATGTGGGGAGAGAGGGGGGACACGGACCTTCCTTCTGCTGGCTAGGACAGCTTATCCCTGAAATGCAGTAAGGCTTTTAATAAAGTGAACATGAAAGGACAGTCCCCTGAAGGTGCGGAAAGAGCCAGTCTGGATGCTGGATGGTCCTGCACTGCCAGAGGGAGCGGGAGGAAAGCTCCCTTGTGCTCAGGACGGGCAGAGCCGCATCATGCTCCCACCATTCATCCCAGAGTGAAGCTGGCTCCAGGCTTCCCTGTGGCAGGGACCATTTCTACAGAAAGTACTTTTGGAAATGCAGACCTGCTGCTGCTATTTATATACTGTCCCATTTTCATGAGCCTCAACACCACAAATCAGGCATTTCACAAAGGGGGTCCACGCTACACGTGCGCAGACCTGTTCCTCCATCCTGAAATAATGTGGAAAATACACAGTTATTTTGGGATACCATCCTTCTCTTCGCCACTCCCACGGTCTGTCCGAGATTGGGCGAGGGGGAACCAGAGGGCTAAGGCACACTATTAGATCTGAGGACAGCAGGACACCACTGTCACACAACAGGAAATCTTTGGATAGAGAGAGAGGATGTTGCCTTAGCGAACACTTGAACCCTGCGGATGCTGCCTGCACTGTTACTGTTACCTGCAAAATCACAGCTTCAACAATGCAGCTCCCGATAAGGAAAAAAATGCTTGCTGGCAGCTAATTATTCCCTTTCGTGTTTCATTGACAGATTTCTAAGTCACTGGGCCCATCCTGTAGTTTGCTTGAGAAAGAGCACAAATCTCCCACATGAAGAATGCCCTACTTTGGTACCAAATCCTGCTCTTAGATATTCACTGAATCCAGCAACAGTTACAGGCAAATATCCAACTGCAAAATTTGTCTTGTGTTCCACATTCAGCCACTTAGTCCCTCCTCAGACAGAAGCAGTTCCTCCCTGTGTGAGCCCTTGGACTCAGAACTAGCACAAGCAATCACAGTGGCTCAGTACAGCTCTCCACCCCAACCAGGACAAAAAGGACAAAAAGCAAGCAGGTAAGGAGTCCTCAGTGCCAGTGACGTCCCTCCACCACAGGAGAGAGGCATAGCTGTTTCCAACACCGCCCCACCCCCCTCCCGGGTCATTTTGCCACCCCCACCGTGTTAGGCTTACAAGGCTGAAACCAAGCGAGACCCTAAGTAACAGAGTTCGAGTGCTAAGGGCACGTGTGTGCGTGTAAGGAGGACCCAAGCAGCAGTGACTCAAAAAGCAAACTTGCAGCACCGAAGGCAGTGCCTTCCCTGATTCTCAGGACAGCAGCTGTCTGACAAATGCAAAAGGATGAGGATGGGAAGCAGGCAAGGCAGACCACTCTGCTGTTTTTGTAGTAACATAATGCTGTTTGGTGCTGATGAGGTTGCTACTTGCCACATGAGGAACAAGGACACCAAAGATTGCATCTGTGCTTGCAAAAACACTTCTGATGTCTTCGGGGCGCACAACGGTCGCAGACTGTGGGATGTTGCATAATAACCTCTGGAGACAGATATCCTTCTTGTCGGCACTTCTTCATGTGTGATTATTGTCCTGCTGGTTACTTGTCATAGAAATGTTTAAAGACCATCAATACATGGAGCCATTCAGACAATTCATTGCACTTCGTTGTTTTAAAGGAAGGAGCCATCAACACTGAGGCTTTCCTCCATCTTTTTTTAAGGCAGCAAAGTGCTACCCTAAAAACACAGTACAAAGTTTTTCCAGTGTAACCAAATCCCTTCAACATAGTTTTATTTTCCCTTGCAGGTGCTTTGTATCCAAGGATTCAACAAGTCAAACTGTTTCTGAGGCTTCAAAAGTGCAAAAAAAAAAAAAAGTTCAAAGTACTTAACCACCTTGAGCACCAGTTAAGGCATATTTATTTCCAGTCTCAGCCACTGTAAACCCTGTCTAGTGTAGTGTACCAGTTCGGTCATGCTACTGTTCAGCGCCAGATCGCACGTCGCTGTGCTGAGGTCAGCAAAAAACTCTGGAAAAAAGGGGAGGAAGAGAGAAAACTGTTGGTTTCACACAACGGGCACATCCAACAGGCGAGGGGGCAGCGAGGAGCGACGATAGCAGCACACTGTCAGTCAGCAAGCCCCGTTGAACACATGGTTAATGCAGCGAGCTCAGCGATGTTAGACGGCTGGGGAGCGTAACAAGCACATGAGGCAGGGCACGTGAGGGCAAAACACACTCACACGCACACCCTGAACTGCCTCCCCGGGCACGGGCTTTAGCAGAACATTGAGACTCCATGGGAGGTGAGCAAAGTTTGGGTGTTCACACCCCAGTCCCTGCCGCGTGCTTCCCCCAGATTTAAAACAGGCCAAATCTGAGTGTCTTTCTAAGCCATGCTTGGAAGCACACACAGCTGTCATCAGACCGGTCCCTTTCCTTCATCCATCCTCAGACCTGGGAGACATGATTTCTCAGCCAAACAGGTTTAAAAATGTGTGCAGCTTGCCAAGCTTTACTACACAGCTCTGATCTGGGTTGCCAATTTAAGAGAGCCCTCCTCTGCTGCCACCAACTTTGCCCACCGTGCTCCTCCTCCTGCACAGGCAGGAGATTGCTCGTGCAGCGTACCTGAGCCTGCCGGAAGGTGCCGCAGGCTGCACACCCTGCTCTGTGCTGGTAGTCATCTGTGCAGGTGACAGCAAGTCATGGGAAATTATCATACTTAGGGCTTTCCATCCCCTTTTCCAGTTGAGTTGCTTTCCAGTGACATGGGCTTGTCCCAGTCCCTCCTGCCTTGATCATGTTGCCAGGCATCTCTTCACAAACTGGCCATTCACAGCCCTCCTTTTTCACACACAGATTGAACCTGGAGGCTAAAAATTTCTGCTCGGCTGTGCAAGGAACCCTTCAGAAGCAGAAAGCACAATGCTTTCCCTCAAATACATTCCCGTTCAGAAGCAGAGAACACACTTCCCTGATTTTCCTGCTTTTGTTTACCTGTTGTGTTTTAAATGGATACCCATTCGCACCGCACCGTGGGGAACAGAAGAGCTCTAAGCAGACTCCAAACCTCCTGCCTCAGCAAACAGAAGATAATCTGATCTGGACCACAGCACCACGTGAAGGAAGAGTGACTTTGTATGCACACGTGTGACCCCAGCTTGTCCTCACCGTGGGAGATCAGAGGCTGGAATACAACCTGTTACAGCCTCATGACCCAGAATGCTGCGTGGAATTACAGTGAGGAGCTGGGTCCTGAACTGGAAGCACCTGGTTGTTGAACAGCCAGAAAGCCCTTCAGCTCTGCACAAGTGACTCACAAATCAGTTACGACTAACTGCTTTCCACCAACTTACTACTTCCCTGCTTAAGGGAACTTGATAGCTGAAGGCCACTGTTCTTTCCCGTCTTCTCATGCCCTATGAACTGCATAAAAGAATCAAGGATATGGCCTGGGATTTTTTAAGTTTTATGTACTCGCTCTCTGTACCTCTGAGTATCTGTACGTTACACTGAGTATCAACAAATTCCAGTGTTGAAACTCCTCCACCATCCTGAACAAGTGCCAAACCTACATGAGCATTTACTGTTCCCCTGCACAGATCCTAATTGATGCAAGCCTGCGCTCAGGCTGCCCTCCCACAGGTTTTCCTCCATGACTCATTCCTCTGGATTACCAGCAGTATCCGCTGCTCCTTCTGTGACAGCCTTTTATCAGCCTTTTGAGGATATAATCTAAAACACTAGACATGAATTGCTGCTGCAAGCACAGATTTGCTCAGAGGACAGCCAACAACTGCAGTTACATTATTCAAAGGTGACTTGCAAAGCCTTTTGGATTTCAGCCACTGCCACATTAGCATGACTATTTTTACAGCCTTCCAACCATTCAGCCAGGCACAACGTGCTTATTTTCTTCTGCAGGTTTGCCAACAGATCGTGGCAATACATCCCTTCGCCCACAGCAGCTCACAAAACCATGTTTTATGAAAAATAACACTGCTAATGCCAGGAGGGATGGCAGGTTACAGGCTGAACTGCACTTGCTCTAGGGCTTGTGCTTATTCACCACTGCTTGTACCACAGGACAACACAACATCGTTAACAAGACTGTAAAAAAAGAAAAAGTAGCAGCAATTTTAGTTGATGCTACTGGCAAATACTAGTCACATGCCCAGCAAGGACTCCAGTTCAAGTGCTGCTCAGATTCTCTGTCACAGAGAGAAGCCAGCTTGATCGTTTTCAAGACAAAAATACCTCGAAGTTTGTTACAAACAAACTACAGCACAAGGCTACAGGCCAAAAAGCCGTTTTTAAGGAAAGTGAACCAACTCAGAAAAGCTAAGCCCCCCCAAAGGGAAAAACAAACAGCAAAAAGACCTGTGCTTCTTGTGTTACCTTGAAGCAAGTTGGCTGGTTTCCTGCACTTGATACCCTCATCCCTGAGCCCTCAGACATTTGTGGATGCCAAGACAACCTTTTCATTGGAATACTCATCAGTATATCGCCACGTCTGCCCATAACCTGCCAATATGCCACAGCCATCTGTCTCCACGTATTTAATGCTTTGGTCTTTAGATAGTGTTTGCTGCACCGAGTGTTCAGATTTAAGCAGTACGTACACACGACCACAACACAGAAGACACAAAAGCCAGAGGGCAAAAAAAAACTTACCCTTATTCTTCTTGGCCAGTGCATCAGCCTGTTCCCAGATATCATACGCACAGAGGATGTAGGAAGTGATGTTGACGTAGGAAGAGGTGATGCTCGGGATATTATAGGGGACAGTGACAGAAGAGCCGACGCTGTTGCCACTGCCGTTGCTAGCATTTGATCCCGGCTGGGAACTCACAGAACTGGCGGGGGAAGGCATTGGAGAAAGAGGAGAAGGCAAGCCTGTGCTTCTGCAGGAGACAGAAACACCATCATAAATGTTTAACTTCAGAGTTAAAGACAGTCTTGTAGCAGACATGCCAGGAGCTATCGGGTATCACCCAGGCTTGCAGTAAGGAGTGCAGTGTTGAAAACCCAAGATGTGTTCAGCTACATAACAAGTAATTATCCTTTGAGGCCACGGTTTTTGAAGTGATTCATGACTCCAGGGACTCCTCTTGACAAAAGAAAATGCGGGACCAGATATCAGAAAGGGCCAGCCATCCACCTTCCAAAAATCTACACCTAAGTGTGGAAGCCTTCACCAGGCTAAGTATTTTCTTCCTCATGACTTCCATGTCAGGCATGCTGAAGCTCCCCACCTATGGGGGCTGGAGTTTTCTGACAGTCAAAGCCGCCAGGTCAGCCTACACACACCTATTTATAGACCCGGGGAAGTTAAATGCAGGTCAGCCGCCCGCATTCCAGACACAGGCTGGCTTCGTCACAGCACTTCACCCCCTCCGCTTCAACCAACCTAATTTTAGTCACTGGTATGAGAGGGCTTCCACCACTGCTCTTAAGAGACCATTTACTTCCCAATAAACTCTGCTGTGCAAGGTGGCAGAAAAATAATTGGAATTTCAGCATCACTGTTGAAGACCGAACAGCTGCAGAGTTTAAAGGGGACAGACATGAAGCAGGGTAGCTGTCTGCCAAATGTAATTACCACAGCACGCAGAAAAACGTTCTTACTCGTTGCCATGAAAACCCAGGCCCAGGCTGCTGGGCACCAGGTCAAACACTGTTACGTGACAGCCTGCCTTTGACTTCTGCTGCCACATACACAGGAGCACTGCTGCAGATACACAGAAGGGGCAAGATGCATCTCTTTTTCTTATTTGGTGACTGAGCTAAGAGAAAAATATTGAAGTATCACCTCAAAGTTACGCTACCAGAGGGTGAAGGCATAATCCTACTGGACAGTGGCCAGGGAGATGGAGACAGTGCCCCATTAAGTCTCAAGGGATCTCTAACAGAACAAAGGTGACAACAACAGAAGCTCTGAAACAGCATAGCAACGGTCCTTTCCTTGCTCGCCTGGTGGAGAACTGCTCTGCTTGATGTGCTGTAACTCTGGACCTTGGAGCAAACAAAAGCCCTTTCCAACACGAAAGGACAGGACAGAAGGAGCAGAGATGTGCTCCTGCCTCCTAACAGTACGATTTCATGTGGCAAGAAAGAGCGAGACACTCTCAAACGCAGCTTGCAGCTCAAATACTCCAGTGACTTTTCACTCACATCCTTACAGACACGTTACAACACAAGTAGTTTTAAATCTTACCTTGCAACACATGGAGAAGGTGCTTGTGTTGCTCTGGAAGAACTCTGCAGCAAGGAACAGAGCTCGTGTTAGGTTGGGGCTGTTCGGCCAACGTCAGTAACTACCACAGCCGTCCAGCTGGCAGCTTAGTAAAAGGCATGCCCTACCTTGAAGTGGTCATTCAGAATCCTGGAATACTTTATTGCAGTGTCTTTTTTGTAACGAAACGTCGCCATGTGCAGAATGGACTGGCAGCGCATGCTGTGAACAGAAACACACCCAAGCGTCAGTACTCATGCTCGCTGCTGCCCGCTCTGCAGTCATCAGTCTTGTGAGCCGGAGGCAGGCATCAGCTGTACCACCGAGTCAAGGAAGCTCTGGATTTCTCCTCCTTCTGCTCATCTTAAGACTCTGAAAAAGTAACAAGGAAAAAACACCCCACAAACGAGGAAGGGCCATGTCTGGTCTTTTATATGAACAGCTGCCCAGCCTCTTATAGGTGCCACGGGCTGAGTAAGCCCCCGCCCAGAAGTGCCGCAGCTATATTCAGCTACAGCTTCAGTTACACAGCTCAAACACGGGTAGCCAAATCGCATTCTTTCACCTTAGGTGAAAGCCCTTATGCACTCTCAAGTTACCAGCAGATCAAATTTTAGAGCCTGTGCCTTCCACGTGTGGTCCCTTGTGATATCCCAGCTCACTTTAGAGATGTTCCAGTTCATTCTGGTTTTTATATTGTGATTTTTTTGCTTGCAGAACTCTGATTCCTATTTAATTCATTCCTTCACCCCTGAAAGTAACAGGTCTTTCACTCTATCAAGTCTAAAACGAGAATATGAAGGCACAGAAAAAGTTACACACCATAACGCAGCAAAGATTTTGTCATGTGAGGATGCTGAGGAGTTCATAAAGGGTTTTAGTGTCATGACGTACCTAAGGAAACAAAACAGAATCTTGTCAGTCCTGAGTGCTCTGAAGTCCCACTGTTTATGACAAACCCATTGTTGTGGTTTAACTCCAGCCAGCAAAATACCACGAACCCGCTCTCGTACCTCCCTCCCACCTCCTCTGACAGAGGGGGAGAATCAGAGGCAAAAGACAAGGAAGCTCATAAAACTGAATATAAACAAATAATATATATATGAATACATACAAATACTACTACCACTAAGTAATTAGAAAATAAAACATAGGATACAATGACTCACCACCCACCAACTGATGCACCAACAGGTTGTGAGAAGCGAGAGTCAGAGCAAGTGAGCCCGAGAGCCATCACAGCAAAGTCTGAGCAAGCCCCACAGGTGACAGCACGACCAGGAAACACAACCACCCCCACAAGCAAAAAAAAAAAAAAGCCAGTAAAGGAGTTAGCAAAGCAGCTAACAAAGGAGTTAGCGAAGGAGTAAAAAGAGAGTTAGAGAGTCTCATAGCTCCTGAGCCCACTCCCCACTCGTGTACTGAGCATGACGTGCTATGGAATGAAATACTCCGGTCAGCTTGGGTCAGCTGTCTGAACTGTGTGTCCCCCCACACTGCTTGTAGTGAGAAAGCTGGGAACACTGGGGCAGTATCAGAACCTGAGAGACACCCTGAGTTTGGTGCATGCACTCTGCAGCACCACCTAAAAAGACACCTTTATCAGTGCTTTTCTCAGCATAAATCCAGAAACAAAAATCCTACCGGCCACTGTGAAGAAAGTTAACTCATTTTCTGATTAAAAGCAGCACACCCATGCATGCCGTTATCTCGAACACTGGTCCAAAAGTCAAGAAACCTGCCCCGAGTTCTCAGCCGAGGACTGTGTCTCAAAATACCTTCTTGTCCACGCATCAGGAAGAGACGCAGCCTCTAATGTGACTCACTCTCCTCTTACACTGATTAACGGGCAACATCCCTACAAGCAGATGCCCCCCGTGGGCACTTGCAGGCCTGAGGCCCAGAGGAGTTGCCCCCACTACTGAAGGTGAAATATTAGTTCAACTGTTTCTGGACAAGGCAGTCATGTTAGTGAAAATATTTCTTTTGGCAAAAAACCAAACAAGCAAATCTCCTTTTGGAAAAAAAAAACCAACAGCAGCATCTTGGAAATACAGTTCATCAACACCAGAAAGCAAACAATGTAATTTTAAAAATTTGAAGTCTATCGCAAACACACATTTCACAGCTGTTTCAGCTCTAAGGCAAGAGTCAGGTCAGCTCAGCTCTCAAACATTCACACAGCCTGTAATTTCAGAATGAGTGAACTGACACCTGTGTCTCTCCTATCCCATACACGGTTCCTTGGGTGGTGCTGCCTGTATAGGCCATACTTTCTACACACATCTACTGTGGCTGTGAAACAAAGCGGGGACGGTTGCCAAAAGAAACCCCAATAAAGTGTCCCAGTAGAAAGACACATAGGACAAACCAGTAAAATCTGGTTTCAGTCAAGCTGCAAGACTTGTGCTTGTGCTCTGGGGCACAAACTGTTCTTTCACACACTACATTGTCGCTTTGCTTTTTGTAACTGAAATACTGCTGAGCTCATGTGCAAAAGCAACACCAGATCTGGATAAAGCAAAAACTCTTTCATGCCCTCGACTGTCATAACCAGTGTCCCCTGGTGTACCTCAGCTGCAAGGCTGACATGCTGAGGAGGACGTGGTGCCTAGTTCTTCTGATGAGCAATGCTGAAACATGCCAAAGGATTTGTCTCTGGTGCCTCTGGATGGTCTGTCTCGTGCTTGTACAGCAACCCGAACTCTACTCCATGGTGGGAACCCAGAGCTGCCACAGCTGCAAACAAGCAACACAACTAACCCTTCCCCCCCCAAGACATGCTGCCTAACCACCACACTTGGAAAACCTCTTACTTGATGAGATTTATGGTGTCACTGAATATGCTGTAAGCCGATTTTGGTGCTAGTACGTCCGATTCCAAGGCAATCCCGTATTCAATGAAGTAAAGGACAGCCTCTAGGTACTGAAAGGCCTTTCCAGTCTTGTCGGTCTGTGGGGAAGAAAATTCTCATTTTTAGACAAAAACAAAAACTACTTCTCTCAAGTGTACCTGAACTCCTTTTCTCTCCCTAGTTAGGCAGGATCTGAAGAAAGGAAAAGATGCAAGTCAGGCCTCTGGGTGATAATGAAAGGGTTCTCAGCAGAACCCCTAATGTGGTTCCAGTCATCAACTCTGTGCACTCTGGCTTTCTGTATCTCTTCCTCTTGCTCAGTGTTTTCCTCAAGTACTTCATTATCTTAACATTTTTTGGATATTATTGTCTGGTCTTGGGAGGCCTGCCTCATGAGAAGCAGACAGGACGTTCCTACTGCAGTAGTTCCTCACTTCATTTTCCCAGGCAAGTAGCAAAAATACATTATCTAAGTCATAATTAGCAAAAAATACACGTTCATTCATGCACGCTGTTAAAATGCACACAGCAGGGAAAGCCAGTTACATCTGCAAAGGGCACTTCCAAGTCTTATTCCCCAGCAATATCATCGCCATCAGGATCCTGACTTCAGAATAAACTGTCTTAAAACTAACAGTTCCATCTATCTTCCAAGGACTTTTGCAAGCTCTGCAAAGTTAGCTCTGCTAACCTCAGACAATGTCAGTTCTTAGTCCTGTTCCCTAGGCATATTTTCTACATGCATTTATAAAAAAGGGAAATATCTGAACATTTGGTAAAGACAGCCTCCCGACATATGACTTGAACATACTCCAAGTATGGAGTATGGAAGCAGTGTCGGCCAGTGAATCTTCATAGAATCATAGAACAGTTTGGGTTGGAAGGGACCTTAAAGACCATCTAGTTCCAACCCCCCTGCCATGGGCAGGGACGCCCTCCACTAGATTCGCATGCATGCGGACATCGGGTCTGAATGCCAGAGCTGGTGAACATTTCCAGCACAGGGCCAAGACTTACCATTGCATCAGCTTTGTGCTTCAGCTTCTTGGCTTCTTCTATGTAGTACTCAACCGGATGCTGTCTGAATTGGGGACAGAGAGAAGAAAAAACAGAAAAAGGGTAAGATAATTATCATTTTACCTTCCTATCTAGAGGATGCTGTGAATCCGAGCATCCTGTTTTGGTCAGCCTGCTACAGCCTGAACAAACACACGTTACAATTATGACAGTCACTAAATGAATGTTGTCTGCATGTTCAGAAATACACAGCAGCTGAATGCACAGATAAAGTGAACTGAATTCTTAAAAAATGTAGGTTAGAATAAAATTGAAAACTTCCATTTCGAAATAAAAAACCACAGGAGGTTAGGCTACTTCGAGGCCAAGCTTATTTCTTGGCTCCCATGGGAAGATAGTAGTTATGTGATCTCCTACTATTCCTCAAGTATAATACCACAAATACATTTTGTTTGATGCAGGCAGTAAACTTGGTTCTGTGTGTAGCAGGACACAAAGCAAAAGAGCTTGAATGCGAGTTTTCTGCTTACAAGAGACGTGGTCACCAAGGTTTCTACAGGTCTTGGTCTCAACCAACACATAAACAACGATGAAGTCAGACCACACATGTGTCTCTGCACTGGCATAACTACTCACTGTGCAAATGGCACACAGCCACCTGTGAACTAGCAAAATGAGCAAGCAGAGTCATGTCCTCTCAGAAAAAGCCAGTTGCCTGCCCAGCACCACATCACAGAGGAGCTTGCCACCAGTCAAGAATCAGACAAATCAAACCCCATCACCTCCAGGCAGGCACAAGAGAAACCACCTCTCAGACTTAACAAGTGCCTCATTTCTAGAGTAGCTTCCCTCCAGCCAAGAGCCATTGTAATGAGGCCTTTGCTTTGTGGTGGGTGGGGTAAGTTGTGGGCACAAGAGGCAGTACAGGGCAGGTCTGAGGTATCTCTCCTTCTCTCTTTCCTCCCTAAAGCGCTCGTTAAGAAGCAGAAGCCAGCCTGCCTGCAGGGCCAGCCTTGCCTGGTATCTTCAGAAAGTACAGACGAAGGGTGTACTTACTGTTCAAACTTGAGTTGAGGTCTCCTTGGCTTGGAGGTACCATTTGGCAAAGAAGGCACTGGGAAAGGATGTGTAGCATCCCCTACAGATGCCTGAAAAAGCACAAAGTAAGAGAGAAAGTTGGCTAGAGAGATATGTATAAACCAGTTCCAAAGCCTGGCTTTCCTAAATTTCAAGAGAAAATGTTTATTTGTCCCAGGCATAGCCTATTCTCCAGGCTCCCCCCCTTTTCTTAATGTCTTCCCCAGCACCCCCTCGAATAATGGAAACTTGGCTTCCTACCTGATTGCTAGTAAGGCTCAATACCACTCAAACTTTCCCCAAGCACAGGGAAATTAAGTAGCAGGTTTCCCTGCACAACGGTTAAGACAGCAGTAGGGCTGCAAGCAGCACATTTTTCGTGGCTGCGAGCCAAGGCAGGAACACTTGTTGCCAGCTTAACCACACAGCAATTGCTGGTTCTCCATTACTAACTACATTATCAGGAAAAAAGCAAGCAGTTAGAAGCCAGCTAATGCAGCACGCAGAGTCTGGCCTAACACACACAGAGCAACACCCTAGACCACACATGCCCAGCCACCAGCAAACAGCAATATAATTGAGTTTTACCCAAAAATGCAAAGGTCCAGCTGCAAGGATCAACAGTCTTGTAAGCAGACTATAAAACCTTATGCCCAGGTTGCAGTCAAAAGCATAGGTTGTTTCTTATTTTTCAACAAACCGCTCGCTCTTTTTGTAAACACCCTTATTTTTACACGAGCATCATAGTAGCAGTTGCCTGCAGTCAGAAACAGGTATGACCATAAGCATGATGCTCTTGGCCTTGGTTTTCACATGGTCACCCCTTCTCACTGCTGAAATGAAAACAATGATGGAAAGTCAGCAGAGAAGTTACAACACAAGCTTTTGGGCTAGCAACATGTGGTTACACAGATAGCCATTAAAGGGGAAAAAATGCTTCAAAGAGCTTTCTTTGGTGGTTAGTTTATCTTCCTTTTTAATATCCTCAAAGCATGTTCCTGAAGAGAATCACACAGCACTCACGGATTGCAGGAAACATTCCCCAGTTATAAGAGATACCTACTTTGATGCCCTTCGGCAGTTCAGTGTGATTTCTCTCCACTTTCTTGTGCTTGGAGAACAAAGGATCCTTGTGGTCGCTGCTGTTCTTGGCAGTGCTGTACATGGCAGGCCGCTCACCGCTCTCACTTCTGGGTCTCTTTTGGGCAGTTTTGGTTGGCTTTGGTACAGGATGTGCAGGAGACATGGGTGGCAGTGGCAGCAGTGGGAGATCTTTCTTCTGGGATTCAGGTGGAACTTTTGATGCTCTAGAGATGGGAAGCAAATTCAGCAATTGGGATGGATATGGTGTACATATAAGCCAGGGATTTTTTAAAAATTGGTTACATTGTGTACCAGTTCTGTTTAAATTTCTCTGGAAGTGTGAGATGACTTGTTAACATAAAGATTCCAACAAAAGCAAAATGAAACCTCAGGGACTTCATCATGCATCGGATACATCTTCAGCTGCCAACAACATACAAGTTGCTTTTCTAGTAGGAAAAAGCCTCAGGACTTGTCCTTGGAGTAAAGACTTAGGAGGATATTAGGATGTTGCAAAAAAAGGCACCCTTCCAACACAGTGCCTTTTCTACTGGACAAGGGAGATAATTACAGCAACAAACCCCTGGGACAAATCACCCAAGAAGGCAAAGGAACTGCAGCACTGCCCCTCGCTCCTCATCATGGTAGAAGACATTATCTGTGGTCAGAAATACTCCCCCTGACACTTGATCCTGTATGTGCTTTGACAGAATTAAACTGAGTTGTTCCTTTAAGACTTGCCAGATCAAGTAGACAACACTTACAAAGTTGGGAGGATTCAAGTGAGAGAGACTTTAAACGCTGCACTTTTAGTGGCAGAGGCTATCACATTTGATAATACAGTGGTATATCAGATTTCTGATCATCTGAAGTTAGGATTACCAGAGAACACCAGCAGCTCTGAGCAGTACCAAATAGCTCTAAACCTTGTTCCACTACTACTCATTTACATCACTTTTATTCAGCTTCTCAAATTTCCAAGAAAACACTGAGCGGTGAACCCCAACTCGTGGGCTTCAAGATCAGAAAAGGAGGAAATTAAGTCAGACCTGGTGAGAGGACTGAGGCGTGACGTTGCACATCTTGCTTCATTCTGCTGTGTGTGGGGCAGTCCTCTCCCTGCTTCCACAGCCCGCTTTTCCCACAGTACAGTCCCTACTCACTGCACACATGCTCCCCAGCTTCGCTGCCATGGTACAGCTGGCGCTCCAGAGAGGACTACTACACAGAGCACAGCATCTCCAGACCTGATCTACAGCCTTCTCTCCTCAAAAAAGTCATAGAAAGGTTTGGTTTAGAAGGGACATTAAAGGTCATCTAGTTCCAACCCCCTGCCATGGGCAGGGACACCTTGCACTAGACCAGGTTGCTCAAAGCCTTGTCCAGCCTGGCCTTGAAATGCATCCTATCCTTCCCACTCCAAAATCCAGAACATGGCTAAAAGGGGTGCTCATTTTCACTGAGCAAACAGAAGAATGAGAATTGAAGCCCCTCTACTACTACCACAGCTAAAACAGGCCTTCACCCAACTAAATGCTAGCCCCAACGTCTCAGTGCTTTAACAGGACGTCAACGTTTTCTCTGAAGACAAGCAGTTTACTTGTATTGTCAGGACACAAACCTCAACATTACATACTGATCCAAGCTGATATCCCAAATTCCAGTCACAAGCAAGCAGGGATTGAACGCAGTAGCCCGTGACTAATGTATGAGTCTCCGCTCTTGGGAACGCTGCCTATTTGAAGGCACGCTCTTGGAAGCATTCGCTCCAGCAAACTCCTAGCCAAAATGCTGGCAGGATACTGGTATGCAAATTACGGAGTAAGATACAGATCTACCAGAAGCACTGCAAACGCTATGCTGGAATAAATGACAAATTCTTGGCCATAAAGGCCACCTGAAATTCCAGATGGAGTCATGGTTCAAAAGGCATGCTGGTTGTGCGTCTGCTAAGCCACATACAAACAAGACGAAAACAATGGGATGACTTTTAGCAGAGAAGGGAAATGCTCCCTACTCCTGCCCACCTCTACATACCAGGACTTTGGACTGGGCTTTACACATTTCACCCCTATACAGATTTGGGCCAGTCACAGCAAAAAGCCTGTTGGCACTGCGGCATCTTGATTTGGCTGGAGACAGGGAGAGCTGGATAGCCACATGCTTCTGGAGCAATCCAGTTCAGCAGCCTTGCACAGCAGCAGGGTGAGAAACCAGAGCTCTGCCCTACCCATCACATCCACCTCTGTGCTCGCAGCTGGGAGAAGACAGGCCCCACCGAGAACAGACCCCATGCGCACCGGCAGCCAGATGGTAAATACTACTCAGAGCCTGTAACTGGTGACAGTGAAAGCAGCTGAAGCAGACAGTATGAGCATTAACACCTGACTTTTGTCTTTCATCAGGACCTGTTCAATTAACGGCAACTATCACCAAGTCAAAATTTGTGGACATACAGTTATGCTTAGTACAACATCCTTTACCAAGAGGCTGCCAGAACTCTCTGCTCTGGACAAGATTGCTCAGTCACGGGAATGAGTCATGTCTTCCAGCCATTTCAGCTGTTTGTAGTGGGAGTCAGAACAACTCAATTTGTCTGCTCCTCAGTTTCTCCACGTGCAAAATGTGCTTATGTCATCTTACAAAGACTTAAGTACTTTAAATACATGCAAAGTGTCATGAATCTGATAAAAAGCTTTCTGCTGCCTCCCATGCAGAGAGAGCACAAACTTGACCAGAATAAGCAAGACACTGGCAAAGAAAGAGCATTTCACAGAATCATAGAATGGTTTGGGTTGGAAGGGATCTTTAAAGATCATCTAGTTCCAACTCTATTTTAAAAAGCATTTTAAGGCTAGTTCTCATAAAAACAGAAGTTATTGATACTTGAACTCTCAAGTCTTACTCACCTAGAATCATAGAATGGTTTGGGTTGGAAGGGGCTTCTAAAGATCACCTAGTCCACCTCCATGCAATTAGATGGCAGGTTCTCCTGCCATCCCCTGAAACCCCTAACTATCACGCAGAACAAGCGTACACTACTCCCCACAGACCAGCTGCCACCTCCCAGGCCATCAAGGGCAATCATCTGCTGACAGATCCTCACCACTGTAGTCTGGAGAAGGGCAGACCGCCTGCACACTGCCTGCATCTCAAACAACGTCACTGGTTTGCACAAATTTGTTTCCTGCATTCGGTCCCCAAGACAGCAGTGCAAATGGCTGCCTACCAGTGGATAAATTACACTCCTATAGCCACATGGTTGGTTCCGGGATGTAGAGACAAATCTGCAGTAGATTAGGTTTCAGAAGGCACATTATGTTATAAGCAAACTCACGAGTACAAGGAGAGGAGGTACAGTTCCTCACATTAACCTTTTAAGAAAGACTCCGTTTTATATATCTTTCTGCCATCCCACCACTGTATACTCACTTCAGTTTCTTGCAGTCTTTGTTCGCTGAAGGCTGCAATGATTTTGTTTCTTTTTCCAATTTTATGATCTTCTTATCCATCTCCTCTGCTTCCCTCTAACAGGAAGAAAAAAAAATCGTATCACTCAGGTGTTGAAAATTCATGTAAAGTACAGACCAACACGGCTAAATTTGATCAATTCTGGTTGGAAAAAAAGGAAGAAAATGTAAGATTGGAACCGACAAAGTAGAAACTCAGAGCACAGCCGATACAGATTTCGGGCTCACTGACAAGTGTCTTAACATGACATTTTATCTACTTTTGCTTGGAGAGATTAATTATTTTGTAGTGGCAGGGACGGAACTGCTGCTAAACCTCTTGTTGCTAACAGTACTCACAATTAAGGCACTTCCATTGCTGACAGTAAGCATTTCATTTGTTCTGGATGGGCTTTTTTCTCCTACTCAGTATGAATTGTAGAGAAATGTATTCAGATTCCCCCTGGCAAAGTCATGAACTGCAAACGATTGTGTTTTGTGATACACCTCATCTAAGGGAGGGAAAAACCTGCATTCACAGGAGAGTGAGATCACTCAGATAACCCAGATGTGCAGGGGGTTTGGGTTTTATTAACAACAATCTGATACAGGTTAAGTTTTAAACAATCAGTTAATAAGAAGTACTTTTTAATAGCACTCCATAGGTCTTACAACACAAACCGTGCAAATCACCAGCTCACCTGAATCAAAAACTTCACAGTAATTTGCTACAAGCCAAGAAAACATAAAAGAAACTGCACTTATCAGTCAGCATTACCCATAGTGTGCCTGGCAGCAGCCAAAATCATTCCAGGATGTTGTCTTCCAAGAGTACATCCAGGTTTATGTCACTGTGATGGAGCTGAGTGGCTTGTGCTCGACACGGAGCCTACGTCTAGCAGAGCGGTCAGGGTGAGGCTCCAGCACCTAGACCATGTCCTTAATCTGTTCCTCAGGCTGAGCTCCACACTGCCGCAGAAGGCGGCTGACAGCTGGACCTGACCTAGCTGGCTGCGGTGAAGCCTGAGCCTCTGAGGACACCGAAGCATGCTGACGCAACGCGGAGAGCAAGGCTCTGAGTGGGTTTTCCTGCAGTCAGACACTCGGACTGCAAGGGGAGACACGTCTGACACCAAATAGCTCCTCTTGGGTCTCTGAGACAACTGGAGATGCAACAGATTTACTGCCCATTTACCTCCCTCCCGCTGCTCTGCAAGAGGGGAACTGCCAGGGACTCGCTAGTTTCTTCACCATTTCCCTGCTCTTAATTCTCCCCCACCGCTATGGGACGTGCAGACAATGACAAGGCTAAATGGGTTCCACGTGGGAACCAAGGTTACTCACCCACACATGCTAAGCCACCTGCTCTGTGAGGAGGACCAAAAGGAGCACAGGCACCGAAATACCCAGGGTGAACCCCTTCACCAGAAGGCCTGCAGCCAACTCTGTGCAGCTGAAGAAGCTGGCTGGAGGCACAGTCACAGCCCCCTCTGGGAGTAAGCTTTCCAAAAAGCCACTTGTGAGCGACTACACCTCAGTTTAGGTCTGTCTTGCAGTTCAAGGGAAAGCAACAACTGGAGCCGAAGGACTCTGCAAAGGGGTCTCTGGAAAGCCCCTTACTGCACACACGCATCTTTTAAGCATTAGCGTCACTGCTAGCACCACAGCAGCTCCAGCAAGCTTTCTCCGTATTTATCCAAGCGCTGAGATCTGAAGCAGGGTTTAGGGATGGTTGTTACTATCCACGAACCTGGTTCAGGTGTAAGTTTATGGAAAGACAAAAGGCTGCTGCCATCAGCCCTAGTATAACACAGTTCACACCTGCAGAAGGCGTTCCTCTTGGCGTAGGCAAGCAGTAAGAAGTGTTTCATGGCAATAATTGACTCCACACAGGAAAAGACTCTGCTACTCAGCCTGAGGTTGCATGGCTAAAGGCAGCAGAAGGTGCACACACGGACAAAACCCAAACCACCAGCCTGGGTCTGTTCTCCTCGGGGCACCCCACAGACTGTAGACAAGGTGCTGTCTCACAACAGACATTAAATGGGTAGCACAGGTGGCTGCACAGTCTGGGAGCTGCTTCAGACACCATGCTGCTTGCAAATGCAAAGGGGTGGGTGGTGGGGGGAGCAGGCGCAGCAGCCCTACAAAGCTCTGCTTGGGTTGAAAGCCAGAGACACCCACAAATGCTGTCAGGGGGCTGGCCACACACATGCTGACATAGCCTGCTGCTAGAAGCTCCTCTGACATAGGAGGGCTGGGGTTCTGCTTTCTGAGAAAACTACTATTTCAAGAAAAAGAGAAAAAAAAAAGTTTTAAAACACCAAAGCATTGCTAGACAGCTTACAGGGCTTTTCATCTCCTCAGCAGAGGGTTTGTGACCAGCAAGAAACATCCGTGGACAGTTCCAATACACATCCCTTTCAGAAGCTTGGTAACACCTCTGCAGGAGGAGCCTAGGGGGTGCACTCCCAGCCTGTGAAGTGGAAATGTACTCTCCACATAGGTTTTTCAAACACCACCTCGGTCCTTGTACAAACCCATCTCCACCTCTCACCTTCCTCTTTTGCAGGGATGCGTCAGGAGTGTCTGTGGTTTTCCTTTTCAAGTCCTGCTTCCCTGCACTGTGGTGTTCCTTGCCCTCTGCTCTCTTCTGGTGACTGCCTTTCCCAGAGGCCTGGGGGACCCCTGACAGGAGAGAGCGTGGTATTTTCACCACGAGGGACTGAGGGGCAGGGAAGCATGCCACTGGAGAGAGCTTCTTCTCCCTGGTAGGCAAGGGAAGCTTCTCCTTGTGAAAATCCTCTCTGGCCACCACGTCAGGCCTCTGGCCACTGGTCCTGGTGGGAGTTGTGCCCTGGTCTTGAGGAAGGGGACTGAGAGAGGGATGCTCCTGGCCATTGCCAAGCAAGATGTCCGTTGTGAGCCTGGGGTCCAAGAAGGGTTTGGCATCAGCCTGGTGGGAGCTCTTGTGCTTTTTCTTCTTGGGGGGCTCTTGCAGTGGCAGCTTCAGGTCTTCTCTGTCACTGAATTCTGGCTTCCCTTTTGTTTTGGTTTTTGGCCTGTCACTGGAAGACTGGCCTCTGACCTCAACAGGAGCAGGGTCATTCTCCACCTTTAGGCCTCCCTTGGGCCCCCTGTGCACTGGGGCCTTGGTGGGCCTTTTGATGCCCACAGTCTGCCTGGGCGAGGGTTCCTCGGTGTGCACAGGAGACTTCTGGCTGCTGCGCTCAGTCGGAAGATGAGCGTCCTGAGAAGCCCCGGCTGCTTGGCCGGAGCTCTTGTGCTGAGGCTCCCTCGGCTCGGCGTGCTGGTGGGAGGAATTGCTGTCAACATCCTGCGCCTGCTCCTTGGCCTCCTCACGTCCATCCCCATGGGTGATTTCGCCAAGACTCTCTGTTGGCACTGCTGGTGGGTTCACCTTGGTTAGCCAGTTGTCAAGCTGCCACTTATTAGAAATTGGTGGGTCGGGCTGCAGACAAAAAGAGAAAGGAAGGATGCAAAGACTGATGCCTTTATGCGGTATTTATGTCCTAGCACAGCTTAGCCAAACCCGGTAAAATTTCTCCTTACTGTTTAAAGAGCTTGAAAGTGAAAGACCATGAGACAGTGGGGATGCTCCAGTGTGTGTACATCAACACTTCAGAAACACAGACCTCGGTTTTGCACAGAATCAGTCAAATGTGTTGCATAGCACTCCTGGACCTCTGCTAGCCCTACCTGTTACTCAGTAAGAAACCAGCCTACAGGAAAGCTTCATCTTTCCAAAGCTTGAGAGAATTGGGTTTGTTCAGCCTGGAAAAGAGGCGGCTCTGGGGAGACCTTATTGTAGCCTTTCAGTACCTGAAGGTGCTACAAGGAAGCTGGGGGGCACTTTTTACAAGGGCCTGTAGTGACAGGACAAGGGGTAATGGGTTTAAATTGAAAGTGGAGAGATTACAATTGGACATCAGGAAAAAGTTCTTCCCAGAGAGGGTGGTGAGGCACAGGAACAGGTTGCCCAGAGAAGCTGTGGATGCCCCATCCCTGGAAGTGTTCAAGGCCAGGCTGGACGAGGCTTTGAGCAGCCTGGTCTAGTGGAGGGTGTCCCTGCCCATGGCAGGGGGGTTGGAACTGGATGATCTTTAAGGTCCCTTCCAACCCAAACCATTCTATGGTTCTGTGATCTTGGCTTGCTACTAACCGATGTGCAAAAAAAAATCAGCAACCGTAAAAAACGATGAGGTGTTGCCCTAGCAATGCTTTCGGAAAGGTACGTGTACACAGTGCTGCCTGTAAAACAGACAAGGAACTGTGACAGCTATCACATGTCATGGAAGTCAGACTGGTAGGCTCGCAGGCTCCTGTGGTTTAACCAAAAGAAAACCATTTACCAAAAGAAAGCACATCAAGTTCTGCCTCTTCGAGTCACAACTCAACACTTGCTTCCCTGTAGGTCAAGACGTAAGCAACGACTGATGTCTGAAGGCCTCTGGAGTCACGGTCAGATAACAATGTGGTTGCTACATGCCTTACCTAATCTAACAGTAGTCTGAAATTACGAGAAAAGCAAACCCAACTAACCCTAAAACAGATAACAGAAGCTGCAAATCAGGGGCATGGTTCTCTGGGGCCCATTCTGAAAATACCACGTATGTGTCAGCATCATTCAATGTGTAGCTCATCACCTGGGCACCATCAGAGCACAGCCACACTCCCGCCCTCACCAGTTCTCCCCAGTCACAACTCTGAGAAGGGCCACAACTCTTCCCCAAAAAGAGAAAGCCTAGTAGGTGAAAGGTTTCCCAAGACTAATGAATGCTTTCTGCTATGATTTTCTCCTCTATGCAGAGTCAGCTCACCGTAGAACACATGGCTAAACAAGACATGCCTTAACTGTGCTAGAGTGAGGTAATCTAGAAACCTGGTTTAAAGAGAGTTTGGTTTTACCATGGATTTCTAAGTAAAATTAAACCACAAATTCCAATATACTTTTCAGATAACACAAATCTGCTTTGTTTTCATTCGAGTTTTAACTCATTAGGCACTAAAAAGCTGCTTTTTTAAAGTCAAATACTGTAAAACCATGGCCAAAAGATTAAATACATTTGGGTTTATAATGTAGGTAGCTCTCAGACAGCAGCATTCTCAGGTCGCTTCTACCATCCATTATCTTGTTTGTGTTCTACACCACCATACAGATTTACACTGGCTTTTCCAAATACAAAGGATTGTAAGAGACTTTAAACCAAAAAGGAGTTATTGCCTATAGGTCTTACAGTCTGTGCTTTTGCATGTGAAGAACCAACTATAAACACACGGGCCATGTGCACTAACTTGCTTCTTTAGCAACATGGATGAAGAGTTCCCTGAATAGAAAAAGGATAAAATGGTCAGTGGCAAATAGCTAGGACTTTACTGGAGTGAGAAGGATCTTACAATCTGGTACTTTCAGGACAAACAAGGCAGGATTTGGTAAAGTAGTATAACATCTGTTTCCTTCCAAAGACACCCACATTGCAGAGGGCAAAGCCTGTAACTGAACTCCTGGAGTTCAGGAGGGTGAAGTGTACTTAGATGTGAGATGAAAACATATGCCTTCTCAAAGCTTGTTTTATGCACATAAAATCACATGAACAGGGAGAATTTTAAGGTAAAAGCAGGGAAATCTAGGGCTGGGGCGAGGAGGGAGAAATAAATTGCAAGGTTTCTGGGCCTTGTGAGAGAACCTCAGAATGGACAGCGCGTCGGTTTACATCAGCTGTGGTCTGTAGGATATAATCACGCACTTCCCACTGGCCCGAGAATGTTTTGCAAGCTGGAGGAGCTGTTTGAAACCATGAGCAATCCTGCAGCAAATTTTTTTTTCAAAAACGCAGGGTCTCAATTATGAAACTTTAAGGCACCAAGTTCTCTTTGTCTGCTTTTCCCAAGAAAGGCCTCAGAAATGCCACTGCAGCACTATCTGAGCCAAGTTCAACAGAAGCAAGTCTAAGCACATTCCAGCCCTTCCTGCAGGCCTGATCCCTTCAGCTGTGATCTGGGAGAAGCCAAATCCATCACTCACGCACAGGAGCTGCAGGGAGGCAGCGGCTCCTCTTAATCTATCAGGAAACTGGCCTCACCCTGAAGCAGCCCCATAGCCTGGGCACCCAGGAAAGCTGCATGGGCAGAGGTGGGCCCCAAACACCCCAGGCAAGCTGTGCTTCTCATCTGCACCGTGCTCGTGTCTCACCAGCCAAAGCACTAGTCCCTCCAGCAGTGCTAGACAACGGTGCCAAAGGCGAACAGGGAACACCCCAAGGTTAGGGCACGTAAAAGTCTAATTATGCTGTTACTAATGGGTATTTAATTGACAAACTTTAGAAGGAAAGCAGAGGGCAAGAAAAGTCTGATGATGCAGCAAAGATGTCAAGGGGACACCTGAATGATGACGGCAGTTCAGGTCTCCTGTCCAGCCTGCCTTCAGACCGCAGAGTCCGAGGCAAGAGGCTGTATTAAGCAGCCACTACACGTTATTTGCATTCACCTCAGGCACTGGCGCTCTCGGAGGGTTGCTTGCTTCACTGTCACTTGAGCTGCTCTCTGTCTCCGAGTCTGAAGAGCTGTCTGAGTCACTGGTGCTCCCTGACTCCGAGCTGCTGGAATGTGCTGATGCCACACTCTTGGGCTGGGACTGTAGGGCACTGCAAGGCCACCAGGAGATAAAATTAGAAAGCAGCATGGGTGAAGGTTACTTATTATATTGACATGGCAGGATTCAAAAATAAAACTGAAACCCCATGTTTTGGCACTGAGAGGAGAGGGGAGAAAGCCAAAGGAATACATTGGCATACTCAATAGATAAAGAAAGCACTGGAATAAAAAAACCTCTGGAAATAATAAAACCTTCACCTCCAACCCAGTCAGACAGATGCATAAGCAGGATGTCACTGTTACAATATGAAGCTGCATTTAGCCAACCAAAGCTTAAAAAGCAACCTAAGCTGACAAGTGCTCTTCTGAAAGCCCCAACCCTCAAAAGAAAAATTGCCAATAAAGGCTAGCAAGACAGAAACACATGTTCCAGGATGGTGTCTCTTTTTTGTGTTCTCCCCATTAAGTTTTCACTTATTCATCTGTGTTACTTGCTCAAGGTGCTGTAGCCATTTCATTCACAGTCACGTCAAGCAGCAGCACATTTGACAACATTCCCCGCACCTTCCCTGCTCAAAACTGTCTTCTCCTCCAACACTGACAATGGGGGTGGATGGAACTGACTTTTATGTGCAGCTTCTTTTTGTTCCGAAACAGGCTTACAAATTCAAAATGTTGATTTTACTTTTTTTTGAATGTTGAAAACTGTTTCCTACATCCATATCAACATGTATTTATGATTTGGAGTCAAGCTCCTCACTGATCCCTACTGAGATCGTGAGAACAGTCTGTTTCACGGGCTTGCCGAGATGCAGATCACGCCAAGAACTGTCGTGTTCTTCTGCAGACCATTACCCCATGCTTGAAGAATACCAATAGCAAGCCAAAAATGCATGTCAGTGCTCTTCTGTAGGAAAAATTTCTGGGCTTCTCCATCCTTCTTCCTCTGATGCTGGCATGTGGCTGTTCAGTCTGCCTCAAATATTGCTTCTGATCAGCAAGACACGGCAGGACTTGCTCACAATCAGCTGCCGTATCAGGAGGAGCTGAAACCCCTTCAATGAGTCTCCCTAACCCTTCCCTGTTCTTCACCCGCTTGGCCGTTTCAGGCTTCCTTCTGAACTAAAACTGGACTGGCACCTCGCCCGTCACTACTACAACTGAAAATCCCATTAGCTCCAGCATGATCTACACACACACTGGTGGAGGGGAAGAGGAGAAAAGGAGGGAACGGTTGGGGAAACGCAGTTGTGGTTCCCAAGCGAAACCCAGCATGTCTGGATTATTCATTTCTAATTGGAGCTTTCCGTAAAACCCCACACAACTAAAGCAAATTTTTCAACAGCAGCTTCAGGCAGCTCCAAATCAAAGCCCGTATCTACAGGAGAAATTGGGACCCTTAACCCATCTACCCCATACATAAAGATTAGTCTTTTCTCCTTATTTGGTCTAGCTAGTCATTTTGGAACAAACCTGTACCTTGGAGGAGCAAGTGAAGGAGGTGGCTTTTCAACAACCTGTTTTGTTCACAAAAACAAAGAGGAGAAGGGGAGGAAAGGTTAGTTTAAGGAACTCGAACAACACAAGTCGTGATGACTTAAAGGGATGTCTGTGTGCCTAGTGTATAAAACATCTAAAACTGACTTGGTCGTCACCACTCTCTTCACTATCACTGAGCTGCAGGTCGTCCTGGAGCATTCTGAAAGACAACCAGAAGATAAATATCAGCCAAGGCAGACACATTTTCAAGCAGCAGACACTGAAAAAGACTTGGTTTGCGCTCGCCAAAACAAACAGACCTCCCACATCCTTTCTGAACATTCGGCACGCTCAACCTGCTAAACCCTGCTGTTACCTGAATGAACGACAGAACGGTAACACACAACCTAGCCCAGGCATTTTACTGCGCTTTCCAGCTGGCCTTGGGGCATTTTGCCATGGAGATCAGTATCGCTGGCTGCCATCTACAGACGACAAAGACGAATGCTCCTCAGCAAAGGTTACCTCGCACGCTAACACAGCAGGGTGGGGCAGGAGAAGTCTGATCCTTGTACAGCAGGACACGCGCGCGCTATTAGCCCGCTCCCTGAGGGACAGAGGGCATCGTCTTCACACCAGCAGCTGTGCATGTTCACGCACTCTGCTCTCAGGGGCTGCAAATATTTTCTTCTGTCACAGGGGTTCCCTTTCTGCTGCTGAAGCCTCCTCTCACACACACCTCGGTGAATGCCAAGGCCAAGCCCAGCTCCTCCTACTGCTCTACACAAGGAACGTCATGCTCCTGCACATTGCAGCGGTAACCGTAACATCAAGTTTACACGTGGGGAGGCAAGAACTCAGTTTTGCTGTTGCCGGAGTAGAGAGCAGGCTGCCTGCAAATGTTTCCAGAAACATCACCCAGTTCTCTGCCTGCAGGTGGTAACTACCACGTGCAATTTGAGTGCATCACTGAGCTCCCCAAAAAGCTGGAAGGGATCTGTGGGGACGGATCACAGATTGTTACCCCCCCTTCTCTGGCGATCACGCGGGCATGCCAAAAGGAGTTGGAAAACAAGCAAAACTCTTGCTATTCGAAAGCACAGTGATTCAGATCTTGAAACGAGCTGGAAACCGACTCCTCAACCCAGAGAATTACACAAGTGTCGTTCCAAAAACAGGACTAAAAGCTTGGGAACAGAGACAGGGATTTTAATCAATCAGTTCAAAACCCTGTTTATTTTTTAACCTCTTTTCAAACTAAGGGCTCTCTGTGAGAGATTTTTGTCATGGCCAAATAAGAAAAATAAGCCTCCCACCCCTCATGACAACACATAGCAAGAAAATGAATATGCAAGATCCCCAGTGAACCACACTACCTGGTAAAAGTGGGGAGCGAGTTAGTGTGCCTGATGCTTGCTCAGAAAACCACACAAACTTCAAACTCTTTCAAGCCTTCGTGGCAAATTATGAACAAAGCAAAAAAAGATTCACGGCTCTGTGGGCCATTTCTAACGACCCTGAGCAGTTTGCTTTTCTGGTTCTGTGACAATGGAGGAGTAAAAACCTTGAATACAAAAAGTGATTCCCTTATTTAAACACTATTCCCACTAACTAGGCCGATCATTTTACCCTCACACCAAAGCAGACGACATGCACGGAGATACTGTCATCGAAACAGGAGGATGTTCACTGCCGAAGCTGGCCACGGTCTCACGACCAACAACAGTTCCACAAGCCAGAAGTGACGCATCTGCTCTTGGCCACAGAGCAAGGCAGCGTGAAGAAACCCCAAAAGTCTCCTGTGCCTCCCAGTACAGAGCCAACCCCTCCGGCACAGGTGATCCCTCCTGCAAAGGTTCTGACTCCGCAGCCCCCGAGCGCCTCGCACTGGTGCAAAAGAGGCTCTGTCTCAGCAGACTGGAAGAGCTACGTGCTTGCTTTGTCCAGGCATTTCCACCTTGCCAGTCCCCTGTGACTATCCTCCTCCATCTCCCAGCCTCCAGTGCCTCGTTTCCTCACACCCCACCTTGGTGGAAAATCATCTCTTGCCTCTTCTTTTACAGTAAACACTGAAGGGAAGCACTATGAGACACCACCTTGGAAAACGAGGCTCCTGAATTTCCTATAGAAGGCAAAGGGCACGCAGTCTGCAGCAATCCTGCACGTGGGCTAGAGCCAAAGCTCGCTGCCAGTCCACCGAGATGCAGAAAAATACGAATAGCAACAATACAGCCACTCTGCACGCTTCTGGGCAGTTTGGCCAGATGTCTGCTGGCATCTCAGTGCATTCCTTCTGTCTTTTTTCCAAGCCACCAGAGGAAGAAGGCCTTCAAAGGTGACAGTGAGCACACTTCCAGGATGCTAAGTAGTTCTCCAAGTGTTTTCGTTTCCATGGTTTGTTTTGGTTTGCTTTAAGAATTGCGGGCTACAGATGCATTTCCTTCAGAGCTAAGAGGATAATGCAAGTGACCGCTCCCTAGATTGTTTTACTGCAAACAGGTAAATCTGATTTTAAAACCTGCCTTTCTCACCCGAGCTGCTGGCAAGTAACACACATCGGCATAAAAGAGCGTGGCAACTACCTAAGTTCAGTTTAGGACCAGGGAAGAACGCTAAAGCTTTAAAGGAGTCATGCTTCTGCAAGGATAGACAAAGCCACTTTCCCCAAAACAAGGTTTCAACAAGTTGTCAAACAGCCTAGTTAAAGAAAATAAATCTGCTTTAATCATTTTCATGCTGCAATTAGCTGGGGAGTTAATAGATGCCAGGTTTTCATTTGCAGGACCCGTTCATTCGCAGCTTATATACACGCCACGAGTCTCCCTGTAAAGCTATTTAAAAAGACCTCTTTTAGTGAGAGAAGCAGCACAAAAATCAACACTGCTTGCCTAACAACCCCACTGAAAGCACAGGCTGGTCCCTCTCTGCCAGCCGGGTTAAAGATGCTTCACCAAGAATGAGCTTGGCATGCCCCTTTTAAAAGAAGGGCTACTCCCATTCCAGTGCAGCCAGGTGCTAACTCCGAGGCTGCATTCAAGAATGAAAGCCATCTGGGAAACCCTTGCATGCTCCGTAAAGCTGAATGCTTAATTTGGGCACACAGACGCACTGGGATTTCAACTTCTAATTAAGCAGCACAAACACTGTTTGTTTTCCGCCAGCTACACTTTGTAACACAACCTACTCTCGCCAGCTGAGTTTTCAGACAGTCACGTGCGCTTTGAACGGCAAAGAAAGCAAGCCCTGTTGTGCCAGTGAAAACGAAGGGATGCATCGGCTCAAGGGAAAGATGTGGAAGAAGTCCTTGCGCCAATCTTGCTTGACTCCGCTTTGGGCGTAAACCTAAACCACCCTGTTCCTCCGGCTTCAAGGGCGTGTACGCCTGTCCCTGGTAGAGGAGCGCTGGCTCTGAAGTGCCCACAAGGACGCTGAGCGGAAAGGGGATGCTGGCTCAGGACGGAGCTCATACCATGCCAAATGGACAATTCTGGGCCTTTGGGCTAAGAAAGGAGAACTTTCGGATTCTTGTCTATGGCAAAAGCCTCTTCTCTCTCTGCCTCCTGGAAAACGGACTGAAGTGCCAGAGGGATTTTTACAAGCAGCTGAGAAGAGCTGGAATAAGAAGACGGCAGTTCTGGGGTAGCTGAGGAAGAAAGGCAGGGCCTGGAGTATTTTTAATAGTGCAATGAATATTTCCAGGAATCGTTCGGGAGGAGCAAGCTGGGGTGGAAGAAGGAGAAGCAAAACAAAGAATGGATTAAGGGAGTAGCTGACTGCTCAGCAAGACACTATCCCACACTCCCAGCCAGCGAGGGCTCCTCTGCATGACGCCGGAACAGAACGAGCAAGGTCGTTTCACAGATCTCACAGAGCTTGAGTGCAAAATCCTGCAATCTCAACCAAGAAGGAGACATGCTCTTCCTCTCACTTGTGACAAGCCCAGCTGGTTTTATTTTTTAAATTTAATTGTTCATGCTAAGGAAAACAAGTGGAGTAACTTTGTAGTCTGTAGTTTGCAGCCTTCCATGGAACACCACGTCATGCGGTAACACAAGGTCTTCATGTATCACACAAACTGACAGGCACTTCATGGCTTGGCACATGCCTTGCACACGGACCCCTTCGCCTTCCAGCCACGGAAAGGTTTTGGTCCGTTACCTGGGGCTCACAACCTGTCATGCTGCCACCTGGCCAGGTTAATCCCGAAAGACTAACGACAGCCCTCAAAAACTATTTTCAAGCGATTTCTGTAATTAACCTAATTAATAGGTAAGCACTTTCACTGACAAGGACAGTACCAAGTTTCATTTATCCACCAACTTAAGATCTTCTGTTGGAGCAATTCATTTATTAGCTGGCACTTCTCCCTAGCCCTGTGAAACTCCTCTAGTGGAAACATCTTCACACTGAGACTCACATTCTAAGAAACTTTCTTCTGAGAGAAAACATAGCACAATACGGAAAAGAAGAGATATATGGAGTAGAATTATATAAATACTATTTTTAAAAGCTGTAGAAATTTCATCTTCACCCCACTTTGTAAAAAAACTCAATTTGTGTTCTAGTAACATTAGTCAATTGCAAAGTCCCCATGAAAGTCTGGCTTGTTTTAAATTGAAAATAAAATTAAGATAGCACTTTTTGGAAAACTTTTCCTTAGGCAATTGCAGGAAGTTATACCAGGTGACTGCTTTAGAATCTCACCCCTAGTTATCACGGTTTTCATAGCTCTAGCTTTACCAGCCCTCCCAGGCTTCAAACAGATAGGCAAAATGGATCAGGTTCAGTTTGTATCCCCAGCGGTTTTTGTCCACTGAAGGCATTACTCGTAGTTCGAGTAGCACTAAGTGTGACAAGACGTTAAGCAGCCAGAGATTAAAAGAGAAAAAAACCCTTCAATCTTGTATATTAATAGTTGAGGGTTTTTTTCAGCTTTGTTTTGTTTTTAACACAGTCATTACAGTCATGTAACTGTAATGTTTCTGTTGGTGAAAACTCCCTGCATTGACATTTTCTGAAAAAAAATCGGACTGATAAAACCTTAACCTTCATCAAGTACACAAAATTTTAATTCACTCCAACTGCACAGTAGAGATGGGAACTGAGTCTGGTTACTTACGATGTTCTTGGCTGAGAACTAGGCAACGTTTCTGAAGGTGCATCATACTGTTCTGTAAATCGAAAATGAATCAGTTAGTTTTATTTGCCTCACTCGTAGCACATTTTACTCTCTGGTCTCTGAGCATCGGGTTAGAAAGTCACTTTCTTCCAGGACCTAATTGTTTTGCCAGTGAGATTATCCATCACTCCAGATGGGGTTTCCTAACACAATACTGTTTGTTCTCTGCTGAACTGCTGCCTTCCTTTCTAGGCAATGAATGTATACAGTCTCTGAAGGATTTTCTACACAACACACGGGCAGTCACACTCCTTAATCAACGTCAGTATTTGATGCGCTCTTCAACCCACAACACACAACCGTCGATACAGACGTAACAGCTTGCTTGCCTTGGATTTTTACTTACTCTGATTCTGTGCTACAGATCCAACATGCTGCGATTCCTAGAAAGAAAGGACAAAGCGTGAATCGAGAAGACAGTAAACCAGCCCTCTCCCAAGAGCCACCTTCATGACTTGTTTTCCATTCCTGACTGTAACAAATACCTTAACTAACTTGTCAAAGTTTGGCTTTGAAGTCTCCAACAGTCTAAGCTGGCCTGACACGGGTTAGCAGGGACAAAGCGATACGTGCTGCTGCCACCAGAAATAGGCTGCGAGCACACGAGCAGCGCGTGTGTTTTTGAAGAAACGTTACAGAAAATTTTATCGGAGCTGCCAAACACTTCTGTTTAACACAGTCAGCAAATACTGTGGTTGACAATCAAGATAAAACGGTTTTTGTGCTGCAGTGGAGATGAGATGCTTAAAGTATTTCTGAAAAGCAATCACATTCGAAGCTCACGATTGTAACAAACGTGTAAGTCACTGAAACATCATTCATGCACCCCCGCCTGGCTCCAACATCTTACAACTCCAAAAACACAAAGCTTGCTTGGAAAAATCAAAAAGAGGAAAGGTGATTATGCTACCACATAGCCCACTCAAAACCAACTACTCAGAAGCACAATATGATCTGATTCTCAGTAAAACGATGCACTGCAAGCAGCTGTTACACAACTCGAGATCCACTGTACTGTAATTTATCTGATTTCTTCTAAAGATAATCTCTCCTAACAGCCTTTATCTGTGAAAGGGGGCCAAAATCAGATGAAAACACATGGAAGAGCTAAGAAGCTCTCTTCTAATTTATCACCAGCCCTGGCATAAAGAGGATGTTTTACCTTTGTTGGGAACGGAAATTTGAAAGGCTCTGCTGTACTAGGGGTGTGAATAGCTGTCAGGGGAGGTGGCCATGAGTGGGTCATTTCCTGGAAAGAGATGGAGAGAAACAGCTCACAGTATTTTTGCTGGTACACACAGGTGAGACTTAACAGACTGATATGGATCTCCCAAAAAAGTCCTTGCTGACCCGACTGTAAACCCGAGAGGCCGCAGTGAGGAGCCCTCCTGTGAGTGCAGCAGCCAGACCACGGTGAGGACTTGCTCCTTTCCCACAAGCCTACTTGTCGCCCAAGTAACAGCAACCTTGGTGAAGCTGGTAGAGACTCAAGTACTTACTGTGTTTGGAGGATTAGGCCTCAGCCTTACAGCTACCACAGTTAATAAAGGGAAAAGCAAATAAAACCCATGTATGAGTAGTTCTGGGGTTTTTCAAAGTGCAGGACTTTCCTATTACGGAAGTGCTTATATCCCCTTACAGCAACAACACTCTGAAAGGCTTTTCATAGCTCGAGGAGGTCAGCCAGGGAGCTATGACTGCCAGCTGCTCCCCATGCTGTTCTGGCCTGAAACACTGGCATTTGCTCTGACCGACCAAGACGTCGCTGATGCAGAGCTCCGGGACGCAGTTTCAGACCAAAGAGACTGCCCAGTGTGCTATGCCTTTAGGAATCCTTCTGCCCTCTTCCCCTGCCTTACTGTCACCCACCATCACTACCAGGTACCAGCTTCTTGGGCTCAGCCAAGGGCCAGGTGAAAGGAGGTGAATCTAGACGAGGCCTCTGGGGAAGCTGGGGCTCAGAAATCCACAACTGCTTTTGCTCAACACACACAGGACAGACTTTTCCTGGCTCCTGATCTTCAAGTTTTTAAACCTGAAGAGCATAACAATCGCTCCAAGAAGTAAATGAATTCACATGGCCTGCCACCCTCTCTGCCTTTCCAGGAATACTTATGTCAGGATCTCCCCCCTCAAGCCCCAGATTACCTCTGCACTCAAGGTGTGCCCCCCCATCCCCATGCAGAGTGGCTGTCATCAGGTGAGGTGCACAGGGAACACAACCACATTGCTACCTTTGGCTCTGTCAGCAGGGATCAGAGCAACCTACAGAGGGTTCTGTGCAAGAACTAGAACCAGCTCTGACTAACCTGGGCAACTGTTTGATCCCACCGTTGCCATCTCTGCTTTCTCCTTTCTCCCCTCCCACCTTTCAGTTCACTGCTCACTTCACTCACTACCTGTGCCATCTTTCAACAGAGCACAGACTCCCCGGTACACTGCACTACACCTCTTCGTGTATTTGCACAAGCTTCCCTGTGGTTGCTGCAAAAATAGCGTTACACGTTACCCACAGACTTTTCTGTCTCAGAATAGTACTTGACCTCAGGGAACTGCCCTCTCAGTATCAGCACGACTGGCCTGCAAATCACAGTGCACTTTCACACCGTGCACAGCAAACGGGTGACGCGTACTCGGACTCTGCTACTGGGAGCCTGGGCCCTGCTCACAGAGCCAGCGCTGACACAAGGTTAGAGCCCGTTTTACACCCGAGCTGCCTTAGCTTTGCACAAATGGATTAGAATTACAGCGGAGGAGCAGCAGCCCGGCAGCAGGCAGGAGGGAAGGACACAGATGCCAGCTCCCGTTCGGGGGCACGCCGCTAGGGCTGGCAGCACGGACAGGGCCTTTGGAGGAACTGCGCTCGGTCATGGCAACCCCCCACCTTGACGAGGAGCAGCTCTGGCTGGTTTGGATGACTTGCCAGCCTCGCTCTTGGACTGCGCCAGACAGCGTTACACTTACATACTGATAGAAAGCCTCCTCTTACAATTCCAGCTGTATCAGAGGCTAACTTGTATCTACTTCTCCCACAGCGTACCCCAAAACACACTTTGCGACTGCAACATCCGCTGGCAGAACTCCAGAGCAGTATTTTTCCCGCACACACTATCCTTTCCAGAGTGTAAACATAAGCACGCACAGAGATCTACGATTTAAGAGCACCTACCTTCAAAATGTCTTCAATGGAGTGGACATCACTGGGGAAGGTTTGCTACAGCAAAAAAAAAGAAAGAAGCAGCATGAGTTTGTTGTTTTTACCAACTGACAAGGAGATGCACTCATTAAACATTTGCTTACCAACAGTTCTGTAAATTCCACGGAAGTCCATTAAAAATAAAACACCAGTAAGAATCCAAAGCCCGATCAGAAGGGCAGCTAATAACGCACTCCTACAAAGCCTGTTGTTGTCCTCTCTAGTTCAAGTTATATTGTAAGAAAGGTAGGAAAGGCATCAAGTGCAACAGAGCTCATTAACCAGTGGTGCTTGCTCAGCTGACAGGATTCCCCTCGTTTCACGACTTGCCACCCTCCTCTGTGCCCCTGTGCACACTCAGCAGAAAAAGAAGCTGGTACAAAGCCCTAAGCTTCGGGAAGGCAAAGTACAGGTGGTTTTAAGTGGAGGAATCGTGCCCCAGCCCCTGGAATGCCAGCTCTTGGACTCACAGAACACCAACTTCCATTAAAAAACAGAAAAGCAAGGCAACTGCAACTTGTGCAGTTCCAAATGAAACTCGGAGCATACCACCAGGTAGGAGCAACACGGCGATTTCTGGAAAAGCCAGCAGATGACCTGCACCGAGGGACTGCCCCTGTACCTCCCCACCCGTTTCGCCGGAGCCCAGGGACCACGCATGCCCGCCTGGCAGGGGCCGCGGCTCCCAACACAAGCCTGGGGAGAGCCTCCGAAGGGAGGCCAGCCCCGTGGTGCTGCCCTGACACTCCACCAGTGCCACCCAAAGGCAACATGGGAAGAGCCACGGCAGTGCCTGCGGCTGCCGTCATCCAGGCTCCTGAGCCCAGGCTCACGAGCAAGCTCTGGGCAGGAGTACTAAGCAAAAGCAAAGCTGGGATTTGCCAGTCACATAACAAACAGCAGACACTGCAGCTTGTGCAAACACATCAATCTGCTTTCAGTGTATCAGCTCCCACACACTGACACGTCGCCCGGCCACGGCCACTTCATTTTGACAGACTGGCTTCTCATCTACTAGCAAGGCACCTGTTCTGAAAGTACCTGTCATTTACACACCCTTTCCTAACGGGTATCATTAAAGGGAATTGAAAAACAACCCAAGACCTGGGTAGTTACAACAGGCAAAGCGCATCCAAGACCAGCTCTTGCCTAGAAACAAGGTTCAATGGAAACATCCAGCCATCGGTGCAATTGCTGACAGGGAAAGGCCAGGAAGACATTCCTGATGTTACAGAGGAGGGCGGTGAGCTCCAGTGCCCAATCATAAGGCTCTTCCCCAGAACAAGGCAAACAGCAAAGCAAGCCAACACTTAATAAAGTGTTAATGAAGGCTTTGACTTAATCAAGTGAAAAAGCGTCGTCCTTAGCGCTCTGGCGGAAAGGTCACTCATCTGCTTCCCAGGTGCTGCACTGCTTACATTGGACGGAGGAGATGAGGAATCTCTCTTCCCTGCAACCTCATTTGTCTGTGTCTACATAAAGCTCTCACCGAGGCAGTGCTCATTTGACAGAGATTTGACTTTCCTTCAGAAAATCACGCACGGATAGCTGCTCCTGACCTTACTCACCCCGACACCCACGGAAGCCGAGGCAGGGCCAGATGAGTCACACGAATTAAAGCAAGGGGCTGGGATCTAGCAGGGCTTGCAGCCTGCGGGAGGGAGGAGGGGAGAGGGAGAGCAAACAGCAGGGAACTGCTACCACGTGGCAAGAGATCGGGATGCTTCATATTACACGATGCCAAAAAGGGATCCCTCTCATTTCCCAGCAAGCTTAACCTGGTAGCTCGTCCACCTAATTTACTTTGAATTTAGTAAGTGGCGACCAGCAGAGATGGAAACTCACATGTTGCTGTACAGAAAAGCAGCATTCAGCTAGCATACTGCTTCAGAAAGCTCCTGACATATCCCATGAAAGCACCACAGCAAAAACCCTTCCCACAAAACAGATAAGGAATCAGGATACTGCCTGGACAAAGTATTCAGAAACTCCCTCTACAACAGATGGATTGCAACAAACCAAGATCAGTTTGCTTCTCCCGTTCCAGAAACTGAATTTTTATGAGGTGATAACTGATGACAAAAGTGGAATTCAATTAACCTCAGAAACAGAGACTATCTGCACCAGCCAGTTTGGACCTCTCTTATCCTTGCCAAACAACTCACACCCCTTCCTGGAGTTCTTTCAGATAAGCCTGAAGAGGCTTAGAAATTGAGGGAGATTTACATACAGTAAGTATTTATAGTGTAATTGTCGGGAGGATTTATCATAACCCCGAAGGGCACTGCCCAGTGACTGTCTGCTCTTCTGCACAGGTCTGGTGGCTGAACAGACACCAATCTCTTCTTTGTGGCACAGAACTCAAAGGAAAGCCAACAGCACACTGCAGAAGTCTGCATCAGCAGCACAAGGACCTCCCTCGACATATATATATACATTTTTAGACACAAGGTTTAGGTACATGCCCCCAAAACATGTACAGCTCAGAAATTAAGGTTATCAGGGATGCTCAGAATTGCTGTCATCTTTGGCAAGCAGTTTTCTCCCAGAGCCACTAAGTCAGGATTTTTTTTTCCCCAGGCCCCTGCTGAACACTCTCCCTGGGCCTTCAACCTCCATTCTACTATCCTGCTGCACCCTAAGACTGAAAAACTGAGCGACACTTCCACCAGCAATAAAAGGTGCAATGGGCAAACAAAACTGCTGCCCACAAATGGGCTTGCAACACCCGCATCATGGCAAAGTGTTTGCTCTAGAGATTAAAATCACAGACTGTTTGGGACCTGCACAGAAAATTTGGTTGTGGTGCCAGAGCCATCTGACTGCACCAGGAACCCTCCTGTCTCAGGTAGGGTTGCAGCCGTCATTTCAACCACAGCCCAGCGCCCCAAACCCGCTGACCCTGCAGCGTCCCGAGGACTCCTCATCTTCCCAAAGCTATGCATCCGGTGCCTAGAAGAGCTGGGCTTTGCATGCCGAGTAATTCCCTCGCCTTGCTTTTTTTTTCCCCCTTCAGGTCACATCTCGGCTGTGTTTCAGCCTGTAAACTACCGTTAAGCCACAACTGCCACCCAGCAGCAAGGGCTGTCCTTGCCAGTTTTAGAAGAGTTTAGGGAAAAGGAGAAATACAGCATTGCTCAAAGAAGAATTAAAAAGCCTTAAAGCCAAAGAAATCACTGAAGCGAGCTCAGCTCCACTGAGGACTGTGGGTGTAGAAGATCAACTATTACGTGTTGCTGTCTACTGTCCCCATAGCAGTTCCACAGCCCTTAGAGGGAACACTGTAACTACTCCCTGCAGGCAACTCGATTTAAGGCCCACACATACTTGCTGGATGACACCCACCTCTGCACAATCTCCAGTTGGGAATTCCTCATGCCACATTCACTGTCAATTTGGGAATGACACAGACGCATCCGGAGTGATGACAGAGGTCAAACTCAATCACAGGACATCCAGAACCATTGGGTCATTAGGGTTTTGATTTGGTTTTGCTAGCGCCAACGTTCCCATCCAAACTGATAACAGCCACCTCCAGCAATAATACCAATTTATGTTCCAGAAAGTCTGGTTTTGCTCAAGTGAAGGCTCCAAAAAGGTCCACGGTGCAGCGTGCTTCTCCATTTGCCATCCCCCCCCCTCCAGAAGGCACCACCAGAGCCAGACACGCAGGTCCAGATGCAAGCGGGTACTCACATATCGAATATTTGCACCTGGAATCCTGTGTTCAGTGTGGGGCCCCTCACTGCAAGACAGACACTGAGGGGCTGGAGCGTGTCCAGAGAAGGGCAGCGGAGCTGGGGGAGGGTCTGGAGCACAAGTCCTGTGAGGAGCGGCTGAGGGAGCTGGGGGGGTTCAGCCTGGAGGAGGCTCAGGGGAGACCTTATCGCTCTCTACAGCTGCCTGAGAGGAGGGGGCAGCGAGGGGGGAGTTGGTCTCTTCTCCCAGGTGACAGGACAAGAGGAAACAGCCTCAAGTTGTGCCAGGGGAGGTTTAGATTGGGTATTAGGAGAAATCTCTTCACAGAAAGGGCTGTCAGACCCGGGAACAGGCTGCCCAGGGAGGTGGCTGAGTCACCATCCCTGGAGGGATTTAAGAGACGTGTGGATGAGGTGCTAAGGACATGGTTTAGTGGTGGTATTAGCAGTGTTAGGCTTAAAGCTCTTAAGACGATCTTAAAGGTCTTTTCCAACATAAAAGAGTCTATGATACTATGATCTGACCCAGGGCTCCAGCCCAGTTCCTCTGGTGATGCAGGCCCACAGACTCTGGAGAGGTTCAATAAATGCATGTAACTTGGAAAGAAATCTTCTTCAGAGAAACAGAAAACTACTTTAAGAGAGCAGGCAGAAGAAACTGCCACTGCTGTAATTTGCAGTGCTTATCCACAAAAATCCCATGGAACAGCTGTTACCGAAGTAGCGGAATACATCAGCTGGACAAAAACTGTGTAACATGGTTCATGGCTGTTAATGTGACCGATAATTTAAGAGACAAATTTAAAATTACACTCATATGGAAGCGCTTGATGGGAGCAGGATCTGGACTGATGAATCTCCACAGTGAGTTTTGCAAGGCAAATTTAACAGATGACTGACTTCCTTGCAAACTTAAAAAGCAAAGAGAAAGGTTTAAAAAGGTCATCAAAACAAAATCAAGTGCCTCTTTGATGAGGATTCACAGACTTAATTGGCATAACAGACATTTCACAGTGTCAAAGATAAGTTTGGTTTTCAGGTTTTTGGAACAAAATGCTGGATAAACATAAAGCCAAAGCCATTAAATAAATTCTGACTACAGAAAAAGGCAGACACTGCTGTTAATACGATGTTTAAGCCTCTCTCAGTTACTAACAGACAAGCAACACACTATTACAAAGTGAGACACTGCTACATTCTCTCTTCTTTATAATTTTCCCAATATATACATTTTTCTGATTCACCAACCTGCACAAGTGGCTGATGAAGGCCAGGTAACAGTTTGCAAAGACCTATGTCTCCAGGTTAACAAAGGTTAAC